ACAATTGGTGGCTGACTAAATACTTTTTTCCCCACTGTATGTGTGAGACAATGACACAGTCAATAGTGAACCCATGCAGCCTGATGATTGGTAATGTTGAATGTTCGGTTCTCCTTCTGAACATGCAGTTTACTTTCTGCTTTAATTAACACAACATCAAAGATCAAACAACAAGAATGAAACCAAATATACTGACACCTTTAAAGCAGATCCTTTGTTGATAGCAATAAGCAATATGACATGGTTCTGTAAGTCATTAATAGGACTGTACTAAGAGACTTTATGTGAATGAGATGTAAATGGATGTATTCCTGATACTGCGAACTGTGACAATAGTTGAGCCTGATTGGGCATGTGCTGTTTGTTTCCACTGGCCCTTACAATCGAACTGGTACTGCTCAACTCTACTCTGGTAGCTTCCACTATCAGCTGTATCTGAGTTTAATACAGCCAGATGGAAAGTATCAGAAGTAGGTCTAGAGAAGCGTAACCTGTCCTTAAGTTGCTGGTTTTCTGTAAGGTACTGAAGTTTACTATTAGAAGAGTAGGACAATAAAGATATCCCGTTAAAAGATTTCGGGTTATTAAACACCCATCTGAGACTGTAGTGATGAGTAGGGTCCTCTTTTCTTACATCCAGGGAGCATTCAAGATCAAACTTATCTCCCTCATTGATGTCAAGATTCTTGTCAGTCCTGTCCATGGCAAAGCTGTCCTCTTTTTGCTTTTCCTTAGTGTCCACATGGATGGATAGCTCCCCAGACTTGTCTTCACCTATCCTTCTCCACTTGTTTGCAGCTATCTGAATCCATTCAACAACCTGACCATGGTAAAGGCCAGTATAAATGGGGTTGATGTTTGGCACAGTCAGCTTACAGTGCATGGCACTTGGGGTGTCCAAACACCAGATCTTTATCCACGATTGCACTGTGTACAGTTCCATCACGTCTGACAATGAAGATGATGACAGGTTGTTAATTTCTCTGACTCCTGGACCAAGTCACCTCAAACACTGCTGCATCACTGGACCGCGATTCAATGACACAGTCAATGGTGAACCCTGCTTGTAGATTGGCAATGTTCAGGCTTTGTTCCTCCTTGTGCACATGCAGTTTGTCCTCTAGTTAAAAAAAAAAAATCAGGACAAATGATCTAAATTTTCTGATGTTTTCACAGTTCTAAATTGGAATATAGAGTACTCCCCTATAAGCTGAACAGTAACATTGGTAAACCCTGACTTACCGATTGCCTTAGGTGACCATTGGCCTTTACAGTCCAGCTGGTGCTGTCGAACTTGACAGTAGTAGCACCCCCTGTCTTCCTGGATGGA